TCTCATACTTGTCCATCCACTGCAGACTGGTTAGCAATGGGAATTTGTAAAGACACAAGGAACAGATAAACACCACCGAGTCATGGGGTAATGCGGGGAGGTACCTGTTCAACCGCAAAAGCTTCAATCTTCACCATGGTTGAGAACAGTGAGCATTACCGAGCGAGCTAACTACAACTGAATATCCTGTTCTGTGACGTTCCAAGATCCAGCTGAATAGGTAGTAATTTGGGTCTTGTTGTGACCGCCGCTTTTACCTATGAGCTTCTTGGTGTCCGTGTCGTCACGTGATGAGTTGTCGTGTTCATCCATCATGACGATCCTAATTGAAATCATCGTTTATGTGGTTTATATGCAGCGCAGATCTAATCCAGTGTTCCCCCGATACACGATACAATAGATAAAAGACAGCACTTCTCCAAGTTCTTATTGTTGACGGTGATTTTCATCGTTGTATCTAAGCGTTGGCCCGCAACCGGATTGGAAGACTTCAAGTAAATGCCTTTTTTTTATGTAGTATTTTTTATGCTGTTCTTCATATAGTACGGTGTCACAGCGGCAATACAAAGTTGACAATACAATGGTCCTTTACCATTGTTCTCCTCGGCCAAGCAAGGGAGGGTGCAGATGAGTTCTGGAGACTTCTCAACGAGCTGTCTCATTTGGCTCCTCTCCTCTGGATGAGTGATACCGGCAACAGCTAGCCACTCTGCTCTTGTGCCATAAGGATCACGATAACCAAAAGGGAATCCCATGCAATGTTCAACCCGGGGAGTGTAGAACAACGTCGAGGTCCTTCGTCACTAAATTGACCGACGATGTAGATGTCCCCTATCATGGCATCACGTGTTTCCCCGCATTGAATACAAATACCACCTAGGCAGCCATACAGAACTGAGAAGGAAGAAATATTAACATCATGGAATATCTAGTTAATGTTGCTGTAGAATGAAAATTATCATCAACTTTGTATAGCGGTCACCTGCGGGTTCCTGACGCCTATGCAGCAGCCCAGCCTCTCTCGCTTCTCCGCCCGCGTCATCGTCTGGGGGCCAATCTCACCCTCTCTCCGCTTTCTGTTCCTCAACCTTCAAACTCACCTCCTTGTTTCTATCTTTTACTTCAACTATATGCTCCAGCTTGATCTTCTAATTTGATCAATTCGGCGGTCCGCCCCGCATCTCTTCAGTTGTTGGCATCGCTGCGTATTAGGACACGCAAGCATCCTTCTCACAAGATGCGCTTGACTGGCGCAATATCTCTTTCGCTTCTCACACTAACTCCTATACTGGGATCTGCTGCAGCATGGAGCGAATTTTCCGACGCAAACCTCGCTACGCAATCCTATTCCCTTTTCGATGATCGGCCATCCGGATGCCCCGAGTGTCCGGCTTGCTTCAACTGCCAGCTCGACAACTATAACTGCACTCATTTTGCGGATTGCAACAACTTTAATGGGAAATGCTCATGTCCCCCCGGATTTGGAGGCGACGACTGCTCGGTTCCACTATGCGGTTCGTTGGCCGACGACTTGAACCGACCGCAGCGTGATTCCAATACCTGTCAATGCAAGGATGGCTGGAAAGGCATCAACTGCAATGTCTGCGACTCGGATAATGCCTGCAACGCGATGATGCCAGAAGATCAAGGAGGCGTGTGTCACAAGCAAGGCGTCACGGTCAAGGAGAACTTTCAAATGTGTGATGTGACCAACCGTGCGATCTTGAAACAGCTCGACGGCCGCAAGCCCCAGGTGACTTTCTCCTGCAAAGCTGAGGATGAAACATGTAGCTTCCAATTTTGGGTCGACCAGAAAGAGTCATTCTATTGCGGCCTAGACACTTGCGAGTGGAACATGGAAACAGACTACAGCTCTAATACAACTCACTACAAGTGTGAGCACCTCCAGTGCAAATGTATTCCGGGCCGTTTCCTCTGTGGCGAGAACGGGTCCATTGATCTGAGCGATTTCCTTGATCAATTGATCAAGGGCCCGGCTACTTTTGATACTAAATCAACCCTGGAGGGCACCAAGAGCGTTTTCTCTGAGCCTCAAATGAATGGATTGATTGCGGGCGTCTTTGGTGATCCCAGCATCTTCTTGTCATGCGATTCAGGAGAGTGCATGTACAAGACCGACGAACCGGGATATGAGCGCCCCGTGAAGAAAATCAACACGCCTCTCATTGCTGGCGTGATCGCGGGAAGTTCACTATTTGTGGTTGCTGTCATTCTGCTCGTTTGGTATCTGTCCCGTCGTGCTGCGCGCCGCAGTTATCTTCGCTTGTCTCTCTCGGATGATTCGGACGACGAAACTGCCAAACTCCTGGCAGACTATCGCCCTGCGGCTTTGTACTGGGACAATGTATCTTACACGCTAAATGGAAAAGAGATTCTCTCTGGTATTCAAGGTGCGTCCATACCAGGCCAGATTACGGCCATTATGGGAGCATCTGGTGCTGGGAAAACTTCATTCCTCGATATCCTGGCACGAAAGAACAAGCGTGGCTCAGTGAATGGAGATTTCTATGTCAACGGTGAGAAAATCGACGACAATGACTTCAGGACCATGGTTGGCTTTGTCGACCAAGAAGACACAATGCTTGCCACCTTGACAGTCCATGAGACCATCTTGACAAGCGCCCTACTCAGACTTCCCCGGGACATGAGCCGGGCAGCTAAAGAGCAAAGAGTTCTGGAGGTTGAAAAGCAACTTGGGATCTACCATATCAAGGATCAATTGATTGGCTCGGAAGAAGGTAATGGTCGTGGCATTTCTGGTGGAGAGAAACGCCGAGTCGGCATTGCTTGTGAGCTAGTTACCAGCCCTAGTATCCTGTTCCTGGATGAACCCACCAGCGGATTGGATGCCTACAATGCGTTCAATGTGGTTGAGTGTCTGGTGACGCTAGCCAAGACATACAACCGCACCGTTATCTTCACCATCCACCAACCTCGCTCGAACATTGTTGCTCTCTTTGACCGACTTATCCTTCTTGCCGAGGGACGCACGGTCTATTCCGGTCCTTTCTCATCATGTCAGCAGTATTTCGACCGCGTGGGCTATTCCTGTCCGCCGGGATTCAACATTGCAGATTACCTTGTCGATCTTACAATGCACGCCGGTGGCACACATTCGTCATATACGGACGGGGTAACGTCCTCTGTGGATGAACGCACTGGTCCACCTAAGACTGCATCAAGCAGTCTGAGGGCTGTCAAGTCCGTCACCAGCGCATCGATCCAGAGCATTGAAGATAACTCGAGCGGCGCAGAGGCGACCCGGAGACCCAAAAACAAACGCCGGGTATCTCTGAAACAGCAACAAGATCGCCAACTTTACTCCCGAAAGCAACATAATGAGCGCCCAATCACGCCCAAGACAGATGACGAGAGTGCTACATTGGATGTAGCTGAGAATCATCAACAATGGCTGCGTCTTTCTCGCCAACATGGTAATGCTCCTCCGCAAATCCTTGATGATCCAGATCAGCTACCTCCGCCAGCACCTGGACAAAGTGATCTGGACATTCTGGTAGCCAGCTACGCGAATTCTGATGTTTGCCATTTTGTGCATGATGAGATTTTGGCCGCCGTTCAGAATGCCCAGGATGCGAACGGTTCACCAAATTCACCCATGTTATCGGATACTGTGAGACAGTCTAAGGGCTATGCTCGAGTTGGTTTGGCGCGGCAGTTCATCATCCTGTCTCAGCGGACATGGCGTAATCTTTATCGAAACCCGATGCTGATGCTCACCCATTACGCAATTGCCATCCTTCTTGCGGTCTTATCTGGATTCCTCTTCTATGGCCTCACGGACGATATCAGAGGCTTCCAGAATCGTCTTGGTCTCTTCTTCTTCATCTTGGCTCTATTTGGTTTCAGTACTTTGACTAGTCTCAACGTGTTCTCCACGGAGCGGCTTTTGTTTGTACGTGAGCGTGCCAATGGTTACTATCATCCGGTCACATACTTTGCGTCCAAGGTCGTGTTTGATATCGTTCCTTTGAGGCTAATTCCTCCCATCATCATGGGCATCATCGTATATCCCATGACGGGTTTGATTCCGGCATGGCCTGAATTCTTCCGCTTTTTACTGGTTCTGGTCCTTTTCAATCTTGCGGCGGCCAACATTTGCCTCTTCATCGGCATCATTTTCCGGGATGGCGGAGTCGCCAACCTTATTGGCAGTTTGGTGATGCTCTTCAGCTTGCTCTTCGCCGGCCTCCTACTGAATCACGATGCAATCCCCAAGTCAGCATTGTGGCTGCAGACTGTGAGTTCCCCTAAAACTTGAGCGTTGTTTTCCCTACTAACAATAGTACCAGCTGTCCATCTTCCACTATGGCTTCGAGGCCTTGATCGTCAACGAAGTGACTTTCCTCACCTTGATTGATCACAAGTACGGTTTGGATATTGAAGTTCCTGGTGCCTCTATCTTAAGCGCGTTTGGATTTGACACCCAGGCCTACTGGGGCGACGTTATCGGACTGGCTGTCATCTCCGGGGCCTTCCTCATCATTGCATATAGTGCAATGCATTTCCTACTTGTCGAGAAGCGATGAGCTAGTCCCTTTGTGTTACTATACACCGGTATGATACCATCGAGAGCGTTTCCATTAACTCTGTGTTTTGCCTTGGGTTCGGCTTGGTCGTTGTCCTTGTCCGACATTGTTTCGTATCTGCTCTTTAAAGGCGCATAGAAGCCTGCATGCTGCGATCTATAGTTTGTCATTATGTATATAGACAAGATAGGTATTCTTAACGATCCCCTGCATTCCATGTTTCCAAATAAATCACATTGTAGTTGGGTACATTTGATCCAGACCTCATGTACCTCAAACATGTACCTACAGGATCAACGTCACAGACCTTCCAAGGTCTCTCGTGTCAACCTAAGCTAGTGAACTAGGTTACCAACCCAATAGTCAATAATTTATTTCGAGTCCGACCCATCTTGAAGCTGTTTCTTATCGAGTACTCCAAAGTACAGCATATACGTTACCAGCCCCGTTTGCGGGTTGCGCTAATGATGACCAGCCCTCCCGTCACCGACACCGCCGACCCGTTCAGGTTCGACCGCAGTTCGCTAATCTCGACCACTCCCTCCTTCGATCCCACCTCATCTTTGCCTCGTTCTTTTCATCTCCACCAGCTTGAGTGCATTTAGCATCTTATTTGTGAGTGAGCTTTGACCCCTCTCTCCGGAGAGGACTCTGTGGGATTCCTCTGTCTTCCTTGGGCCGCAGAACCCCACAAACATCTCCAATTCCGGCCTCTTCAATCCACCCTGACCTCAACCACTTTTGTCGCAGACAGTTTACTCATATTCTCTGTTTAGCAATTGAAATATTGCCAATTATACTTGACGCAACGTCAATTTCGCAATGATGTCTGGCGAAGCATGGCTTTACCTTTTGTCGGTGTTGATCAACGCCGTCAACCTCTTCCTCCAGGTGTTCTTCACGATTATGTACAGTGATCTCGAATGGTGAGTCTTTCCAGTCATATATTCCAAGCAACTGCTTTGGGTCCACGCATATTACAAAACACAAGCTGACATTTCTCCCTCTTTTTTTTTTTTTTTTCTCCAGCGATTACATCAACCCTATCGACCTTTGCAACCGCCTTAACGCCTACATCATCCCCGAAGCCGCTGTCCACGCATTCCTGACCTTCCTCTTCCTGATCAACGGATACTGGATCGCCATCGTGCTGAACCTGCCCCTCGTATTGTTCAACGCCAAGAAGTACGTTGGAAGCTCCCCGAGTAGCCCAAGCCCCCCTCAGAACAAGGCTAACCGAGTCGTTTTCAAAAATATAGGATCTACGAGAACCAGCACCTTTTGGATGCGACCGAGATTTTCCGCAAGTTGAACGTGCACAAGAAGGTCGGTTTGGTTTCTAAGTCGCAAACTTCAGCGCAATGACTAACTCGAACTCGTGTTTTTAGGAATCCTTCATCAAGCTTGGCTTCCACCTTCTCATGTTCTTCTTCTACCTCTACAGCATGATTGTTGCCCTGATCCGCGATGAGGGCCACTGACTGCGTGAAAAGACCGAATATGCGATGCATCATGGTCGTTCCGGCTAGATCAAGGAGCCGTCTGTTGATGAGCTGTTGTCATGAGTTCCTGGATCAGTGTTCCTTGGACATTGTTCTCAGCCTGTTCACGCAACCCTCGAACATGACCGCAGCTCCAAGACGGCCGCTATACCATATAACTCGGTATATCGATGTGGTTCCTTATCTTTTGAGCGGCCATGACTACGGATGAGCAACGAATTCTTTCAGCCTTCAGATATTTGCTGGTAGGACTACAGCGATGAGAAGTAATAGATATTTCCTTTGGAGTGTCTCGAGCTGGGGATGTGAGCTGGATTGATTCGAGACACTGTATGATTGACTCCTGGTGGTGCATGTTCTTTTGATATTGTTTGTTTGTTTTCAATTCTTCTTCTGTGTTAATCTTGCTGTGTCTTTCGACCTGTTGAGTTGTATATACCTCCCATGTGGTTGGCAATGAAGAGCGTACGATACCCAAGGTTTCTAACATTTACATGATTTCTTGTTTGATAAATACCATGGCCATGAAATAGGTGTAGCAAGAGTAGAAAACAGTAGGCATAATTGATATACGCACCTAACTGATCGCAGCTGCATTGGGGTTGGTTGATAGACAGCTTGGCTGCGGTGGCTGTTCCGCGGCCTTCGTATCGGGGGTCTCCCGACGCCCGTAAAATTCCCATCCTCCACCATCTACCATTCACCAACCACATTCAACCCCAACGTTGTTGCAAAGGGGCATTGAGGTCTGCGCATTCTTACTCTCTTTAAAATATCAGTCATGTCCACCTTATTAGGTCTCGGTTATGACTCCAGCGACGATGACGCCACAGCTATGCCGAACTCGTCTGTGACGACCGCGACCAAGGTCGTTGCTGCACCAGAGGTCAATACAGAGGTTTGGTCCCCCCATAATCACCCTTCTTCCGAGTTTCTTTTGTCTCTTGTGCCTCAGCCATGACGAGCAGATAAGACTAACGATCCTACAGGACCAAGCGCATATGCAGATGGCCCTCGCCAACGCCTCATCCCAAGCTCTCACCTACAATGCTACATACGATGATATCACCAAGCCCTCCCAGGGCCCTATCAATCCGTTCAACCCAGCGGGTCCGGGAAACGGTATCAAAAGAAAGAATGTACCGACAGGATTTGCCGAAGAGGCAGCCATCAGCGAGTCCACATTTGCGGCGCAACATCGCACGTTTCAGAGTCTGGGATACACGCGCAATCCGACAATGCCGGATCAATTTGTTGGAAACCTCGAAAATGCGGCACAATATGGAGGTCGGGATGTTGTGCAAATTAAGCCGACTAAGAGCGCGTCCGCAAACTGGCGGACAAAGCGGCAAAAGAAGGGCGACTCCAGTGTTGTGGAAGGAGAGGGCGCATATCTGGGACCCTGGGCGAAATACCAGAACGACCAGCAATATGACTATGTGGAGGTTGCTGAAGGAGATGAGCGCGCGCTTGGTAGCGACGAGGAATACGTCGAAGAGGAAGACGAGACTTTGACTACCACGGCGCCCATGCCAGCCATGAGCAAGGATGCCACTGCCTACGAAGGCGACCTTGCCACGCAAGAAACCACCGAGTTCCACGGATCGGAGCAGTACGACTACCAGGGCCGGACGTACATGCACGTGCCCCAGGACCTGGATATCGATTTGCGCAAAGAGCCCGGCACCACCAAGAACTACGTACCGAAAAAGCTTGTGCAAACTTGGAAGTCGCACACCAAGCCGATCACCTCCCTTCGATTCATCCCCAACTCTGGGCACTTGTTGCTTTCGTCAGCAGCCGATGGAAAGGCCAAGCTCTGGGATGTGTATCACTCTCGGGAACTCTTGCGGACCTTCTCCGGCCACACCAAGGCAATCTCAGACACAGACTTCCACCCATCGGGGAAGACTTTCCTTACCGGTTCATACGACCGACAGATCAAGCTCTGGGATACCGAATACGGCAAATGCCTTGGCCGGTTTTCCACAGGCAAGACACCGCACGTCGTCCGCTTCAACCCCGGCGCAGATCACTCACACGAGTTCCTGGCTGGTATGTCTGATAAGAAGATCGTACAATTCGACACCCGGTCCGGCGAGCTGGTCCAAGAGTATGACCACCATCTAGCAGCCGTCAACACCCTCACTTTCGTTGATGACAACCGCCGCTTTATCTCCACCTCCGACGACAAGTCGCTGCGCGCTTGGGAATACGGAATTCCTGTGCCGATTAAGTTCATCGCAGAGCCATACATGTTCGCACTCACCCGTGCGACACCCCACCCGAATGGCAAGTATGTTGCCTTCCAGTCAGGCGACAACCAGATTGTCGTCTACAGCGCAACGGACAAATTCCGTCAAAACCGGAAGAAGCGCTTCGTTGGACATAATACTTCCGGGTACGCTGTCGACCTCAAGGTCTCGCCTGATGGCCAGTTCCTTGTTTCCGGTGACAGCGGTGGCTATGTCTGCTTCTGGGACTGGAAAACTGGCAAGATGTACCACAAGATCCAGGCTGGTGGAAAGGAAGGCGGTGCTGTTACTTGTGTAGACTGGCATCCCCATGAATCCAGTAAGGTTGTCACTGGTGGGTTGGACGGTACTATCAGGTACTGGGATTAAAGAATTTTAGTCATTATCATCAGGTTTTCATATTAATTTGATCAAAAGTCCAGACTTGAGTCTTGGAATGTTTTCCTTTTATGCCCGCGATGTTTTCTATCATAGGCCGCTGCCTGTGCTATGCTACTTGATGTAATAAATTAGATACATAAAAAATCTTCTAAAAATCGGCATGTTGTCACATATTCACTCAAAAGCCAACCCTTCCGACAAAGCAGTTTTACATATAAATGAATTTCCGTATAGTCTTCAGCCCGACACAAGCCAGGTGACGCGAGCACCGAACCAACCCCACGGGCGAGAGATACTGAGGGTACTTCCACATCAGGATGGATACAGCACCAACACCAGCAACCAAAGCCCCGCTCAAACCAAGACCAAGCACTTGGCTTTGATGCTGAACAGCTTCAATTACCTCCGAGTACCTCTGGTTACTGAAGCTGATACGGGCGTATTGAGTTTTCCAACCAAAGATCGGGAAATGGTGGTCGATAGTTTCTTCGATCGTCTTACGCAGCTTGTACAGCGGCGATTTGACACCCGAGCGCATTTCGAGGTAATTTTCCTTCGATAGATCGTTGATAGCATGCGTATCAGCGCACCTCTGGTCTGTGTACGCTTGGAAGGCTCCCTGGCGCTTGAGACCGCGTGTGTAGACGCTAGAGTTAGGGTCGTAGACTCCATGTCTGTCCAGTTCCTCGAAAAGAACCCGGACGTCTTCGAGACCGGCATTCAGTCCCTGTCCGTAGAAGGGCAGGACTGCATGAGCAGCATCGCCGATAATGACGACGCTGGCGTTGAAGTGGTGGGGGTTGCACTTGATGCTGATCAGTGGGAGGTGCGGGTTTTCCACAAATTGCTCACTCAATGCCGCGGGCTCGATTAGCTCTGGGCATACGCCGGGGAAATGGGAGTCGAAGAATTCGTGCAGGCCCTGTGGCGAGGTCTCGAGGGTGTTGTAGTGCGAGGATGGTGCGAATAATGTACATGTGAATGACTTATCCGCTGATGGTAGTGCTATGAACATGAACTCGCGCCCAGGCCAGATATGGAGGTGGTTTGGCGAGATGCGGAAGTCTCCATCCTCTGTCGGCGGAATCCGGAACTCGCACCAGAGAGCGTCGATGTACTCTTGTTGATAATCAAGACGAGCGAACTTCATCAGGTGGAAGCGCGCGGCGGAGTGTGCACCGTCTGCACCGATGAGGTAGTCGAAGGACACCTCGATCTCCGGTACTCGACCAGCTATACCAGCATCATCGGGCACAGGTGTCTCGCCAGGGATTCTACGCTCAAACCAGGCTTTGTTGGTGCGGAAATCAGCACCGGTGAGCTTGTAGTTGAAGAATAGCTTGACATTGGGGGTCTTCTCAAGCTCGTCGAGGAGAGCATTATTGAGAGTTCCTCGGTCGATAGCATTAATAGCCTTGTAGTATTGGTTAGCTATGATATGCAGGGCAAATAGCAATAACAACTGCCAAGCAGATGATCGGTGCATACCCGGCCGTGAACGTCATAGGCCTGTGCAGCTTCCCACAGATCTCCTCGGTCTCGTCCGTGGATCATTCGTCCATGCATGGGGATCGCTTCACGGAGGACATTGTCGATCAAATCATCCCGACCAGAATGTCTCATAGATGTAATGCCACGTTCGGAGAGTGCCAAGTTGATAGACTTGGTAAAGTTCAATGGCACAGTTGTAGGGTCCCGGAGATCTACGGATGTGCAGGGATTATTGGTGTCAGTTCGGAAGAATTCGCAATGAATCACAACTGAGCCCAGGACAAGTGCAGGGGGTATCGAATACAGTAACAGATCACAATATAGATTAATCGGGGTGGTTTTCTCTTGACGAGTTGAGGCAGGGACCTTGCGAGACATGCTGTCTTGATAAAAGCCAGCCATTTCCGGCCAAATACAAGTACCGCATTTCTTAACAGCCAGACCATTCTGAACGGTGGCCAAGCAGAGGTAAAAAGAAGAAGAAAGGGTTACACAAGGCATTGGAACGTACCTCCACGGAGCTCATATACTTCCACCTCATCACCTCTTGACGCAGCATACAGTGCTGCCAATGACCCTACTGGGCCGGCACCCACAACAACCACTTTCTGCCTCGGAATGGCCATCATATGACTGTTCAGGTGGTCAATGTCCAAAATAAAAACTGATATGAGTTGAAACGGAATCGTAAGTCGTCATCACGTGCTGCGAAATCGGCCCCTTCCAATGTTCCCAAAATGATCGACATTAGTCATTTTAATCGTTGCCTTGCTGCCTTGGTACCTCAGGCTAATATCAGCCATTTTGACACTAGTCCAAATGAAGTTTAGTTCTATATCGCCCTTGCGGCCGGCGGGGATTTTCTTGAAGTTTTGGTCTCCATTTAATCCACTCTTTACTACGTATTCCCTCAATTATTCTATTCTTTTCGCTTCTGCTATTTCAATATGGCTGAAGCTGCCAATCGCAAATGCCGGGGTGTGGACT